CGTGTAAAAGTACAAGTTTTTCACGCTCCGATCGACTCTTTTTTCCTTTTTTACAAAAGTCGTCGCGCGTCAATCGAAATCGTCGACGTTGGTGCGTTGATGGTAATCTTGATCGCAATGACGTGTTATTCCAGCGTGTTCCTGGTACGCGAGAGCAAGAGCAACTTGGGTGCCTACGTGCTCACCTACAAGTACAGCGAAAAGGTGTTTCACGCGCAGATTCAGCCTGTAAGTATATAACAAGATCATCCGCAAGGCAGTGAACTCGTAGACTCGGCGAACAAACTCGAATCATTTCGACCTGTGTCGTTGGTTTCAGGTTTTCGACGAACGTTGCAACTGCTGGCTGTACACCCTGGACAAAGGCGTGACTAGGTTCTACGATCTGCTGCAGCTGATCGAGTTCTACCAGTTGAACGCGGGCTGCCTGCCCACCCGGTTGACCCATTACGTGCAAAACGGCGTGCCGGAGATGCTGCCGTTGCCGGTCCCGGTGCCGTTGTCGCAGTCTGACGACGGCGGTTCGCCACCGTCGCCGACGGAGCTCGATCAGACGACTACGACTACGACGACTACGACTACGACGACGACGACGACGACCGACAGCGGTGGCGGCGGTGGCGGCGGCGGCGGTGGCGGCGGCGGCGGCGGTAGCAGCGACACGGCCGGTAACAACAACGTTGTCGAGCTCTCCAGCAACAACGCAGCCAACGCCGCCTCGTCCAACATCGGCGTCGGTCACAAGAGCATCTGAAGATAGGAATTCCAGCGGCCCGCCACCAGCGTCGAGCAGCGTCTCGTCGTCGCGACTGCCGACTGTTGCTCGCTCGGCTGCGCTGCTTCTCCATCCAACGGAATCCCCAGCGAGAACGTTCGACCCGCGCGCTCGGGTTGCTGGAGTCTGTGCCTGTGCAGCTACAGCGAGTGGCATCTGTAGCGCCCCAATTTATTGTCACCGTCGTCGTCGTTCCAGCGTTCCTTCGGTCACGCTGTTTACGTCAGCGAGGAGACAA